ACATCTCCTGGAGATCAGACAGCAACGTTTCCATCATCCCAGTATTAGAACATGACATAGACCTAGGTAGTTCACCAATACCTCGTGATATGTTCTCTTCTTCTGTCAATTATTCCTCATCGCTTCTTTGAGAAATGTGCCGCATGGTTTCTTAATTATGCCAGTCTGATTGTCACAATGCCACTCTTCACTGTGCTTGCCAAGGTTCTGATCGGCAACGCGAGGGGCCAAAACTGCGTGCTCTGTCTGACTCCACAACCCCTTTCATGCACACCGGTCCCTATTAACCTACGGCGCCTCAGCAATACCGACAACTTCCGTGCCTGACAGCGTACATACACATGGCAAGATACCTGTGGCGACTGGGTCGATCCCCTCTTCCTCTTAAAGCATCCCTCTACCTCTCCTTCGGCCGACGCTTGGCATTGCTCCGACACTACATATACCGTCAAAACTACATTGCAGCTGAGGTGTAAGCTGGAAGGGCCGACCGCACTATACGTCAACTCAGCTCTGATACTATTATGCATGCGGAACGCATAATGCTATCCATCCTCTCCTCCTCCCCACTAACACTCCAATCCCACCATGCGCCTTCTCCTATAAGAGGTGCTTAAGAAAAATTTGCTCTGCAAGCACACGCTCCCATCTCCTCTGTTTATCACTCGCTGCGATTCAAAAAGGCGGTACTCGTGCATGATCCATGGCCAGTCCTCACCTTATTCCTCTTCTTTGTTCGCCAGGCTCATAACAGCTTGAAATTAAACTGAAGACTGCACCCGATTTTGGACACAAACCCCTCTGCAGCCTGCTGGTTGTCCCCTGCCTACCGCTGGCTTGCTTGTTAGGACCGGGGCTTCTTTACGCCATGACCAATCCCATACTCCTCCTTCGTCGACTTTCGACTGACGATCTATCGACTTCTTGCCACGCGCGAGACTCAAAATACATCTCCCACGTCTTACTGAACCTCTGGAAAGCAGAACAGACAAATGCCGCCGGCAGGCTTCCACGGCTGATACTTTAGCTTGTAGATGTCCAGTTCTTGTATGAAAAGATCAGGGTTAGGGCATCCCTGCTTCCTCTTCCGGAGGTAGAAATCGACGAGGTCGAGGTCGGTTGGGCAAAACCTGAAACCCACAGGAAATCCTTCCAGTACTGCTTCTTCTACTTCTTCTTGAGGTGGTAGCAGTAACGCCATCAACGCGCAGACCAGCTTTTGAGCCTGGAAGAAGAAAAGAAACGAGAAATCTCGAGCGAAGATTAATCAAGATCGATCTTGATCAGTCTCTCTCTCTCTCTCTCTCTCTCTCTCTCTCTCTTCTTGAGTGCAAAAAACTACGATGATCGTCAGAACGCTCGTCGCTCGGTGTTTATATAAAGCTGAGAGCTTCCCCTAAACCTCGTAGGGTTGGGTTTCATATTTAAGGTCGTATTAGGAGTTCCAAACGCGGCTTGGAAATCGAATAGGGTTAGGATTCCCAAACTAATGTTATCATTAATTAGGGTTGCTCAATTAGGAAAATATTACCGTTAGATTTTTAACTGTTAGTCTATGTACGACTGCATGCAATTAGGAAATCTGATCGTAGAGAACTTAATAAGCAAGGAAACAAGAATCTTTAGGTACTCAAACAAATCAGTAATAAGTACTAAATTACAGCTAATTTTCTATGTTTTGTAATTTGTTTTGTGGGAAAAATTGCAAAATAGACCGTTTTTGCTAATTATTTAGCAAAATAGACCGTTTTGCTAAATAATTAGCAAAATAGTCCTCTTTTTGGTCAACAGGCCAAAAAGAGGTCTATTTTGCAAAACAGCTCAGAAAACATACGGGACTAGTAGTCCCGTATGTTTTAATCACGGATTAGTGAAATTTTCTACTCAGAAAATATACAGGACTACTAGTCCCGTATGTTTTCTGAGTCACTAATCCGTGATTAGTTGGCTCTAAACATACGGGACTAGTAGTCCCGTATGTTTTCTGAGCTTTGTTTTTCAAAACCAACCTCTTTTTTTCAAAAGAGGTCTATTTTGCTAATTATTTTTCAAAGTGGTCTATTTCGCTATATATTTTATAAAAATGGTCTATTTTGCAAATTTTCCCTTTGTATTGTTCATTGATTAGCAATATTTGCGCTCAATATGAGACATCACCGTTAACCAGACATCTGTCGTCCCAGTTTATTCGCAATATCTAGTAAATATTTATCAGAATAAAACAATAACACTTGATTGTCACCACCTTTGACTGGCAATACTCGAGCTTCATACGCATAACGTATATGTTTCTACCTACGTATAAAATAAAAATAAAATAAAAAAATAAAAAGAAGAAGAAGAAGAAGGGGAAAAAGAAAAGAAAAGAAAAAAGAATCAACGAAAATTACACTTCTATTTTTTGGGGGTTAATCATAGACCCTCTGTAGTACCATTGTCATTGTAGTTCCAATATGGCAGATAAACCCCCTGAGTTAAAATTTATGAACTCTTTTAGTTTTTTACCCTTGGTGAAAATTTGGTAAATGTTACCCCTGGTATAATTAGTGAGTCAACAGGAGGTACACGAGTAAAAAAAAAAAAAAAGAAAAGAAAGGGGGAAAAATGGATTCGGATCCTTTCCACTACAAAAAAATAGTGGAGAGGGACCACTACATAATCACAGCCATTGATTATCTAGTTGATGGTTATGATTTTTTCTTTTAGTGTAAATTAGGAATGAGTGCAATACACGGGGGTATGGTAAGTGTTAGATTTAGATTGTATCATAACCGCCTACTAAATAATCAACGCTTGAGATTAAAAGTAGTGGTCTCTCCACTACTTTTTTGTAGTATCAACGCTTGAGATTAAAAGTAGTGGTCTCTCCACTACTTTTTTGTAGTGGAGAGGATCCAAATCCGGGGAAAAAAGGACTATATGCAACAATGAAACTACGAGAGTAGTAAGTGCAAAACAACCTTTTTGAGGAGGTTTATGCGCAATGACCATTTTATTTGTTACAAATTTATGGTTGAAGTAATTGCACTTAAATACTCTATAGTTTTCCATATATGGCACTTGTATACCCTCACTTCAGCACTTACACACGCTAAAGTTCTTAAAACTTGCGCTTATATACCATTGTTTTTGGCAACATCTATATACCCTAAAATTTTTAAAACTTGCACTTAGATAACCTAAAGTTTTCAATACTTGCACTTAATACCCTCGGATATGCAAAGATGAGAATTTCTTCCGGAAAATTCTCGGACGACATTAATTACATGCTATTTTTAGAACATTTTAACCCTTAATATTTGTTAAATTTACTACTATACATATCTAGATCCAATTTTAAAATAGAACTAAGGTAGGTTTAAAATAGAATTACAGTATTTTAAACAATAAATTAAATAAAAATAAAGATTAAAAAGTTCTGCATTAGCAAGCGAGTGTTGCATGTTTTACAAACTTTAGGGTGTGTATTTAATTACAAGTTCAAAACTTTAGGGTATATATATGTAAGTACTATCAAAAGCAAGTAAGGGTATATAAGTAGACGTTTTACAAATTTTATGTATATAAGTGCTGCCAAATACAAGTAAGGTTATATAAGTGCAAAATAGAATAAACTATAGAATATTTAAGTGCAATTAAAGCCTAAATCTATGAACTTGGACATTTTCACGTGTCAGAAAATATAGACGAAACCCTTTGCGGGGATCATGAGTGGACTCATTATGAGGTGATCAGCTTGAAATTAAATTCATTAATTAGAGGGAGATGGTGTCCTACGTATATATGAAGCGCTAAGTACTATTTTTGTTGGTTTTAGGTTACAAGGTTGGATCTCTCTTAAACCTCTTGTAACCCTTCTTATTTTCTTTCCCCTTTTTGCTGTTGAGCTCTGTGAAGTCGTTGGCAAACAAGTACTCGTGTATTATATATTATTCGTGTATTATTACTGGTGTATTTTTGATTTTATTGATGTAGTGTTTTATTATTCCAAGCATCAATTACCTTTTTTTTTCCCCCCATTTTATAATTATTATTATTGTTGTTGCATAGGTCGTACTATTAAAGGTCTTCTAGCACGGCTAGCTGATGAAGAGAATTCGTACATCCTATGTGATATTTCTTGTGAAATTGATACTTCAATAATTTCACACTACGTATTATGACTCCGTAAGAACTCACAATGACCAAAATGACGAGTGTGATTTCAAAGTTCATCATTTAACTTGAGAGAGAGGGAGATTTTTAAGCTCAAGTATGCAGAGAGAGATATTTAAGCTCAAGTATGCAACATATATACAGTATATGCGTGGGAGGTTGGAGGAAACTAATATCTACTATTGATATATATACAGTATATGCATGCACGGGAGGTTGGAGGAAACTAATATCGACTATAGATATCTAATGTCGATGTTTGAGAAAATGATATGCATCAAATAAGATGGTGCCTTGATCATGGGCTGTGGTGGTGTACATCCCATAAACCTCCTCAATCACTAGTACAAAATAGGTCAGCCCCAACGGTTCAAACCGTTGGGGCTGATAGTGACCCCAACGGTTTAAACCGTTGGGGCAAAAAAATCACCCGTTGGGACAAATTGCGTTGGGGCATTTGCCCCAACGGTTGTTTTAGCAGCACCAACGGTTCCAACCGTTGGTGCTGATATTTTTTCAATTTTAATTCTTAAAATATAAAAAACCCTGCACCAACGGTTGAAACTGTTGGTACAAATAACAACACCAACGGTTTCAACCGTTGGTGCAGATATAAGCACCAACGGTTGAAACGACACATGTAGTAGTTGTATACAGACTGTTGGGAATCCAAATTGAGGGTAGATTTCGTAAAATACCCCACTGAAAATTTGAAGTAGACAATGGAGATACATATAGAGACAGTATTGGATTCATCAAGACGCACATAGAGACGGTATTGGATTCATCATGGTAACCAGTCATCAGCTACTAGTGAGCATCATAACAACAATTGCGAAAATCTCTAAAACAAAACACCGCAATATGGATAGAAAACTCAGAATCAAGAGGAACTCATTGCGTCATTACAGTGAACAAAAGTTGGTTCTTAAGAACATTGAACAGAAACTATTGCCGTAGAGAAACCTAAATTGCTGGGACAATAATCTAACCTCGAACATTTAGCGCTAACCTTTCCCAATGCCTAACAAATAAATATTGCACGTACAAAAATAAGTTTTGATGGCATCAACAACGAAACAAGCATGGAAGACTCCTTGTACTGAGATCATGTTCCTTCCTGCCTCTCCCATCGGAAATCACTAGTAGCCATAGCCTGCTAGGACACAAAAAGTTTTTTCAAGAAAAAAAAAGGTGAAATATTGCTAGAAAATAAAGCTACCACAAGTTTAAATATTTTTCTGAGATTGCATAGCACATAGCACCTGAGTTGTCCATTGGGTTCCTTGCAGGTATATGCTCAGGCTCCTTGATATCAACCACCACAACATCTGATGTTAAGAACGTTTTCGCAACTGACGCAGCATTGCTCAGGCTCCTTGATATCAACCACCACAACATCTGATGTTAAGAACGTTTTCGCAACTGACGCAGCATGCTCCAAGCAACATCTTACCACCTGGATTTACATCTGATGTTAAGAACGTTTTCGCAACTGACGCAGCATGCTCCAAGCAACATCTTACCACCTGGATTTCAATGTATTTCAATGTATAGATCAATGCCCCTTTCAGTGATAACTTGTTTGTGCTCATTATCAGACATATTTTCATACAAATATTTCAACATGAACTAATGCGCATAACTCAAGTTATACATAGAACATGCAGGACATATATAAACTACAACTGCAGACAATATAGCAAATTTAAGTGAATAAATAAGGTGCCAAATAAAATCCAAAATTAGTGCAGCAAAGTTGAAAATGTTTCCATACAAGTCTGCTTTTTGGAAAAAAAGAAATTCATGCTTGCAGGCTTTTTAAAAAGAGTTATACTATACAAAACACAAAAGGGTCAGGATTTCAGGTTCATATCGAGAACATAAATTACTCCCTCATCTTACTAACTCTTTCACGTATAATTCATAATCAAAATATAACCATAATCATGATATAGATAACTCAACAAAGCTACTCCTAAATTATAAAATTTTCTTCACTCAAACAAAATCAGAAATTGAGATACATGCAAAACACTCCCAAGGGGTAGATTGTATATCATGTACACGTACATTGAATTAAATCGCAAGTTCAAACTAGTAAATAATCATAGTATTGGATAAAATTGGAATCAACTAAAAGGTATGGAGGTCTAGTGCATGGGTGTTATGGAGCACTTGTTGTGACTGATGCTTTGAGAAACCAAACCAACGAACGCCGAGAGAAAGACCAAACAAAACACAAACACCAAGGTTTTACGTGGTTCGGCAAATTGCCTACGTCCACGGGGCAAGAAGGGGGTGGGTTTTCACTAATAGAGAAGGAGAGTACAAATTGAGATTACAAATCGCTCAAACGAACCAACTAATCTCACCAACAAATCTCTCAATCTCTCAACCAATAACCCTAACAAATAGCTCAGAAAGATCTCTCTTTTTCTGTGCTCCAAAACCCCAAAACTCTCCCCACAAAACCCTCAAATCGTATTGGTATTTATACCAAAACAGAAACCCAAACAGACTGCAAATAGGAACCTGAACTTTCCAAAAAACCCGTCATAAGTCGACTTATCAGTCTGCATAAGTCGACTTGGCAGAGCGAAAAACAGCAACTGGAGAAGAGATCATAAGTCGACTTATCAGACCTGATAAGTCGACTTGGCAGAGCAAAAAACCAACAATCCAGAGCAGAACGTAAGTCGACTCATGCACCAACATAAGTCGACTTACCATAAGTCGACTTATGCCTGTGCATGAGTCGACTTATGACCAAAAATCTGCTTTTTCCAATTCTTCTCCACAATTCTCCACCTCGGCGAAGTTTTCCCAAAACTGAGCCGACACCAACCAAACAAATGCCTCACATGCTGAGACCCAAATGAGAGTGTGAACACTCACCCCAAATGTCGATGTCGCTCACCAAATCGGCTGCATCAAAATGACTGCCTACGTATCCTTTGCCCAAGGAATCAAGCCTTCACGTAGTTCACCCAAACGGCCTCCAAAGGCCCTCAATCAAATAGAAAAGTCTGCAACTCTTCTCCAATATCACCAAACGATCTGCAACTGATAGTATTCCCAATGACCCCAAATTGAGACAAATCAAACACCTCCACCTGAGGTAAACCAATGGCCATATCCAAACTATATCTACCAGCTGCAACTGAATCCAAAACCAATCCATCATCTGCATCCAAAACCAAATGATCTCCAACCTGTGTCACCTTAGCTGGAATCCCAAATGACGCAGTATGATCTGGAGTATGTGGAGTAATCTCCACCCAACGTGGAGTAGCATCACTCTCCACCTGCTGCGATATCCAAATGACCTGATCAACACTCTCCACCTGCCGAGAGTCAAAAGTGACATACCTGCTCAGAACAAAATCAGAAGCTCCCAAACGATAATCAACTGAGCCTCCGAACCCCAAACGCGCAATCGGATCCAATCTCACATCCACGATGTGACCAAATGCTGGGTATCCAAATATCCGACGCGACCCAAAATCTGAAGCAGCTCCACCAGATCTAATAACTCCTAAAGCAGCAGTCGGCGACCTATGCATAAGATGACCCAAATATGTCGAAGCCCGCACACCAATGCCAATGCTCGACATCAAACGCCGATCCTCCTCCAGAAAGGAACGACCCATCGAAACTGTCATCTCATCTCGTCGCCCCAAAGTCTCCACACCAATGAAGTGTCTCCTATTGCCGTGAGCTCGGCACCAACGCAAGAAAGGACCCCTACCAAAGCTGAAACAATGAGTTACCTTTCTGCCAATACACTTCTTCCAATTGTTGTTGACTTCTAGGACTTTACACCAACGGGAACTGGTCGCGACCCAATAATGCCTAGAACAATCACCAACTGTGGAAACCAAGATACGATTACCTCCCAATGATGCCTCCTTGGAAGGCCCCCAAATGCCTGACTGAACACCTCCAAAAAGACCCCTCGCTCGATGGATAGAAGTGCCAAACTCCACCACGGTCTCGCTCATCCTAATGTGCTCACAGGACTTCAATCTGCAGGTCATAGCACTCCTCAACAACCAATGCACGGTATTACCAATCATATACCCCAGCACCAAACAATGCCACAGTCTAGCCGAATCTGATGAAGTCGTCATTTCCCTATCAATCACCGTGCTTCCGTGCAAATAATACAAATTTCTTCTTCTGACGCCCTTCATCACAATCATGGACCCAAATGTAACCTTCAAGCGTGCATCCGCCAAGGTCACCCTATAGCCAGCTGCCTCCAAAGCTCCAAGTGAAATGATGTTCTTCTTCAACTGAGGAACGAACCTCACTCCAACCAACTCCCGAATCACCCCGTCACTCATCCTGATCCGAACAGTACCAATACCACCAATAGAGCATTTGTGATCATTCCCCATGAGCACGAAATCCCCTCTTTCCAACTCCTGAAAGCTGGAGAACCAATCCCTCCTAGGGCAAATGTGGTATGTAGCACCCGAATCCAATATCCACTCTGTAGAGTAGGCAACACAAACTGACGGCAGTGCAGATAACGAGTAGCCCGAAGAATCCGAATCTGAATCGTTGCCACTAGCCTTGACAACATTCGCCTCTGAAGCTTGAATAGCTTTTCCCTTATTCTTCCCGGCTCGATCAACTAACTTTGGGCAATCGGCTTTCCAATGTCCATCTTCTTTGCAAAAGGCACATTGATTCTTACGAACTCCAAGATGTGCCCCTCTAGACTGCGACCTCCCACTACGGTTTGGACCCTTTGCTCTTGCGACCAACGCCCCCGCTACCGGCTCAAACGAAGTCTCCTTATCCTTCTTTCGAAGCTGATAATTCACAAGTGCAGCGGTGACCTCACTATACGAAAGAGATGCCTTCCCATTAATAAGAGTAAGAACGAAGGTCTCATATTCCTCGTCAGGCAAGGAACTCAATAGCAACAACGCCTTGTCCTCATCTTCAATCTTAACATCCACATTCGCCAAATCCGCAAGAAGCTTCGTGTAGTGGTTCATGTGATCACCAATGGAGGTTCCTTTCTTCAACTGGAAGCGGTAAAGCCTCCTCTTCAAATGCAAGCGATTCTCCACACTCTTGGTCAAATACTTGCTCTCAAGGATCTCCCAAATCTTCTTTGCAGAAGTCTCATTGATCACATCATACTTTAGATCTTGAGTGAGACAAGACCTAATCACACCACACGCCGTTCGATTCATCTTTTTCCAAACCTTCTCATCAATGTTGTCCGGTTTCCCGTCCAACTCCAACGTATCTTCCAAATTTTGCGCGTTGAGCGCATCCATGACTTCGCATCGCCAAAGTCCAAAATTGTTTGTGCCATTGAACTTTTCCACATCAATCTTCATTGAGTGGATATTCAAGCTTTGGACGGTCTTCACGCCGGAAGTACTGCCCACAACTCCTTCTTTCTCGGCCATAATCCTCAAGGCACCACCAAACCAATGCGGAAACAAACGAGAAATAGATCCAAACTGAAAAAGACGAGATTTTTACAAAAAAAGATCCCACCTTTATCACCAAACGAAGCCCTAGATGAACTTCCAAAGCGATCTACTCCTCCAAATAGCCCAAGCGTTGCCCGTGCTCTGATACCACTTGTTGTGACTGATGCTTTGAGAAACCAAACCAACGAACGCCGAGAGAAAGACCAAACAAAACACAAACACCAAGGTTTTACGTGGTTCGGCAAATTGCCTACGTCCACGGGGCAAGAAGGGGGTGGGTTTTCACTAATAGAGAAGGAGAGTACAAATTGAGATTACAAATCGCTCAAACGAACCAACTAATCTCACCAACAAATCTCTCAATCTCTCAACCAATAACCCTAACAAATAGCTCAGAAAGATCTCTCTTTTTCTGTGCTCCAAAACCCCAAAACTCTCCCCACAAAACCCTCAAATCGTATTGGTATTTATACCAAAACAGAAACCCAAACAGACTGCAAATAGGAACCTGAACTTTCCAAAAAACCCGTCATAAGTCGACTTATCAGTCTGCATAAGTCGACTTGGCAGAGCGAAAAACAGCAACTGGAGAAGAGATCATAAGTCGACTTATCAGACCTGATAAGTCGACTTGGCAGAGCAAAAAACCAACAATCCAGAGCAGAACGTAAGTCGACTCATGCACCAACATAAGTCGACTTACCATAAGTCGACTTATGCCTGTGCATGAGTCGACTTATGACCAAAAATCTGCTTTTTCCAATTCTTCTCCACAGCACTATCACACAAATTCCAATGCACATAAGAAGGATTTGATCATAAATTAGAGATAGCAAACAATATAAAAAATGACCCGATATATATTCAAAAGAAACTCATATGGGTTTAGTTTCAGTAATAACAATAATTTAATGCATGCAAGATATAAATTTAGAGTTATGCTCTCTGTAGTGACCATGTCTCAAGCAGTCTATATTACACACATACATCCACTTCTACTAAGCATTCTAGATAGCAAATGATATCTAAATTTGCCTAACCAAGTTTAACAGAAAGGTGCATAAGTATAGATTTAAAAATAAAAATTTCACTTAAAAGGGATATTCTTGGAGAAAGTTATGGCAAAAATATTAATAAGGTATCATACAGGAAATTTTTCAGTACGAGATTATGCTTTGAATATCAACATCTAAGTTGTACCATCACCAAACCATAGCATATCCACTATAATCTGAACATAGCGAGACTGAAAATAAGAAATGACCGTGTTTTACATGTCCTTATGGATAGAAAGCAGAATACAGATGGGGAAGTGTGAGACAAAGAGGAAAAAGGAAGCTATTACCTTTCATAATCCTCTATCATAAGGCTCCAGCCTAGAGCATACAACATACAAAAGTGATTAAGAACAGAATTATTATTAATTAGAAATTTAAAGTTACCTTTATAAGTGGGGGTGCATTCAGAGGAGTCCCATCTGTCCCCCGACAAAGAACACTTGCAAGATCAAAGCGGAAACCATCCACATGGTATTCGAGAACCGTTATCAAGCACAAAATAACCATCAGGGTGAGTGTATGCAATATGGAAGTTAGAAGAAGCATAAGTTAATTATATGATGAAATGTAAGGATAAAGATAAAAGTGGCATAAGTGCCAAGAGAAGACTCAGTAACATAAGATAATACCAATGTCTCAAACTGTTGAGTATAAGTTCCATAACAACAGGATGGTTGCAGTTTAACTTGTTTCCTGGAACACACAAAACAAAACTGTCAAATAATCTTGAAAATGAAAATAATGATAACACTACAACCAAGACTATGCCCCAAACTTTAGCTTTCACTACATGAATTCTTTTCTTCCATCCTACTATATTAAAGGGCATTTCATTATTTAAATTATCAATGCATGGTTGTGAAGGCACTTATTTCTTATTTTTATTTCTAGGGGCATTTCTGTATATCCATCTGAGAGTTCTCATTTTTCATATGCGCTATTTTTGAACATGTTGGATTTTATTGCCCAAAGTTCCAACCATAAGGCATTACTGGTTTCACAGGCTTCTTACAGAATTCACCCTGCAACATTCATGGATATCCTATGATCACATGACAATCTAGAAATAACATTTTAACAATCCTGGTTGGATTCTGTGAATAAGATCCTCCTTCATCTCACAGTCCCCATATGAATTACAGGATGAAAAATCATAACTAAAGCTACAAATATGCGTAGGACTTGTTGCCTTACCACAGCCTGAGAAGTTTAGTAGTTGACCATCGTTGTTGAGATCCATCATGTAATAAACCTGTTCAGATAGTAAATTTAACAGACGAGAAAGGTCCCAGATAAAAAAAGAAGCAGAACAACTTAAACTATATATGCCCATGCAAGATGCACAAATCTCTCGAGTTTCTTCTTTTGTGAATATATAAAGGCAAGTGTCTTCTTTAGTGACAATTACTATATATACAATTACTTGCTTATTGCATGGACATCCACAAGAACAGGAATTGGGGCATTCTTTGAGTGCAAACATTATCGTTATGTACATAAATGAGTTAAATCTTTTCACCAAAGTGATAATATTGAAACAAGCAAAGTCGTTATGTACCTAACATTGAGGTATTATATATGCTGTGTATAAGTTGTCATGCAATTATTGATGATAAATAAGTTTTAAACAAACTTGGGAAAGAACAAAGAGTTAATCAAAAATAGAAATCATGTACACGTGTTGAACACACAAAATTTAGAGATAACACAAATCTATTAGATTGAAACCATGTAAAACAATACTGTCAAACTTAATCTACTGGGCCCTCTTCTGCTTCCATCTAAATTATGGCCAGTGGTGAATAATTTCAATTGTCTAACAACATAGTTGCCTTTTGACTACAGTTAATGAAACCTTGCTTTTTATTATTAAAGCATAAAGAATTCAACTAATTAACATCAAAAAATTTCTCTCTCTCCATCGTTTTCCTTCCTTTGCAGTAGTGCTTCTATTCCCTACTCTAGCAACATTCCACAACTCATATACTTGCTTCTTGCTCGAACTACTTATCCAGAACAGGATGAAATAAGCCATGATGTTATCCTTTGCGCTATAAATTGCTCTCAATTAATAATAGGATTATTTCTTACTCTCCACAGGCACCAACGAGAGAAGGAAATAACACTTTCCATAATTTCCAAAGCTTATAATCAAGTATGACTTCTCCATTAGATTCGAGCAATAGTTGAAAAGAACCAAGGCAATGCACAGAAAGAAAACATGGTTGAAAGAAGTTTCAAACATCCTTAGTAGCTGGGCATGAATAGAATAAGGGGCAGTTTGTTTCACTGAAACTCATAGGAATTGAGAACTGAGAACAAAATTGGAACTGAGAACAAAAATTGGAAATGAAACTCATTTCAATTCAGTAAAATTGGAACTGAGAACAAAATTAGAAGTCTAATGCTCAATTATATTAGTTGAATCAAGAATAATAATTTCTCTATTAGGGTTTCTAAGTCTCTTCATGCTTCTATTTATTGGGATTTTGTAATTAATATGGCAAATATGAGAGTAAATGGATGTTACTTTAATTTCAGCAAGTGGAGAATTGAATCTTACCTCTGTCCACGGCGGCGAGGTCCGATTTGGAGAGGTCGACCGAACTGGGATTTTTCTGGCATCTGTCGCGCGCCTTTGCGGAAGCCTTGCACGAACTCACAACGAACCTGTGATCACGAGTAGAAGAAAGACAAACTCTTGCACAAATCCAACCAATAAAGCCAAATCAATCCAAACACAGAGATATACGTGGTTCGGCAATTTGCCTACGTCCACGGGGAGAGGATGGGGAGATTTCACTAAATCAAGGAGAGTACAAAGGGTTACAATCACACAAATTCTCTCAAACTAACCCTCAACCAAAGATCTCACCTTGCTCACAATATCTCCCTCTCACAATGCTCAAAAGATTCCTCAATCTCTGATAAAAAACCCTCACAAATCGTTTCCCTATTTATATCAAAACAAAACCCCAATCAGACTGCAAATAGGAAACCTGCGTATGCAAAAAACCCGTCGTAAGTCGACTTAACAGAGCTCACAAGTCGACTTGACAGAGAGAAAATCAACAACTGGAGAACACTTCATAAGTCGACTTAACAGACTGTTAAGTCGACTTGCCATAAGTCGACTTAACAGTCATGCTAAGTCGACTTGACAGAGGCTAAAATCACAATTCGGCTGCAGATCGTAAGTCGACTCGTGCACAGTGCATGAGTCGACTTATGCCAGTTTTTCTGGTTTTTCTGATTCTTTTCCTGATTTCTCCACAGCATCTTGATTTCTTCTTCAGGTTTGGTCTTCACACACTCAAGACTAACAGAGTAAGTCCACGGCGGCGGCGAGGTCAGATTTGAGTAGGAGAGGCACGGGGTCGACGGCGCGGAAAACTGCAGGGTCGACGGCGCGGGGAAAATGAAGGGATCGACGGCGACGGCAACCTCTAGGGGCGGCGACGACCTTCGACGGGGGTTTTTTGATGTGTGAGAGAAAGAGAGAACGGGGCGAACTCCAGGGACGGCGACGACCTCCGCCAGCGACCTCCAGGGGCGGCGAGTTTAGAGTTGGTGGCGGGGAACAAGGGTTTGGGGTTTTTTTATGTGGGAGAGAGAGAGAACGGGGCCAGTTTGGGGGTGTTTGTTTTGTTTTTTTAATTTTCGCGAAAATAAATGGAGGGAAATTTTCCTCTGATTTGCGTTTAGGGTAAAAACATTTGCCCCAACGGTTACACCCGTTGGGGCATGTGCTACCAGCCCCAACAGTTAGTTCCACCCGTTGGGGCTGGACCACTTTTTACTAGTGAATGATGTTGCTGGACCATCACCATGAATTTATATGACTAGATTTATTTCTTAAAAAAAATAATCAATTTCTCAGAAAATTTTGTATTGATTTTATTATTAGTTTTGGAAAATAAACATACATTAATGATGTAGAGTGTGAGTTGTTTGTTTAAAAAGTATATATAGAAAGATATAAGGGATTCCATCCTCATTGCTCATGAACTCCCGCATACTTGTGAATCCGAGAAGAAAGAGATCTGCATGGTCAAAATTGATATTACTAAAGCTTTTGACTGTATCAATTGAAATTTCATTCTTGAGCTCCTCCAAGCCGGAGGCTTTGGACCTAAATGGTGCAATTGGATCAGATCCATTATCTCCTCCTCTAGGTCTTCCATTATCGTTAATGGAGTACCTACCTACTCCTTTTCTAGTTCCAGGGGTATTAAGGAGGGAGACGCCCTCTCCCTTATGCTTTTTATCCTAGCAACAGATGTTCTGAACAAAATGCTCAAAGCAAGTGTTGCTTCAGGAGACTTGTCAGAGTTAAACCTGAAAGGAGAGCTGAACAACATCAAATCTTTACAATTTGCAAATAAAACCATTGTACCCTGTAACGCTACACATGAAGATATATCTGTGCTTAAAGCCATTTTCTTCTCTTTGAGAATGTGTCTAAGCTGGAGATTAATTTAGCCTAGACTAGTCTCTTCTACTTTTGGAAATCTTCCATCAAGGGGAATCAACTTGCCTCATCCCTCCAATATACCCTTGATCATCCTCCCTTTAAGTACTTAGGTATCCCTCTTAAAAAAGATTCTCTCTAGATCAGATTGGCAAGCAGTGCTTGACACCCTATCTAAGAAGCTATCCATATAGAAAAGTAGACAATTATCTATTGGTGGATATTCTCATCAACTCTGTTCTTACTTCTATCTCCCTCTATTTCTTCAAACTTCCTGCCTGGCTTGGACGTAATTTCCTCTGGGTTGGGGGGTGGGGGTGGGGGTGGGGTGTGGGGGGTT